GTGTTGAAATTTCGCTTTCACATCCTGCTTTCTTTTTAATTTTTCTGTGCAAAATTGTCAGATCATGCATTTGACCTCTCCATAACTCTTTTACACTTCTCTGGCCTGTGCCTTGTGCATCCCCCTTGTAGCCTTCTGTACCCTCACCATTGTGCACCCGACTCACACACCCACAACTCTGGGAAGCCAGCTTTTGTACTGATTAAACGTTCTCCCTTTCAGGAATTTCCTCCTTATTCCCAGGTTGAATCTCTCTTTAATGATCTTCCATCGGTGATTTATTGTCTCGCTTTCTGGTGCTTTGGAAAATTAGGTAGACTCCCCGTCTTCATGGTGGCAGCGCCTCAAATCTTGGAAGACTGTTACCATGTCACCCCTGGTCCTTCTTTTCACTAGACAAACCCAATTCCTACAACCACGGACCTTGTGAGGTCTTCTAGTCCAGGGATCCCCAACCTTTTCGACGCCGCGGCCCGGTTCCGACATCAGCTGGGCGCCGCGGCCCGGTACCGGCGTCAACTGGGCGCCGCCATCTTTTTATGACGAAAAGGCGCTTCCGGTGAGCTTTCTACCCGGAAAAGCTCACCAGAAGCGCTTTTTTACCAAAAAAAAGATGGCGGCGCCCAGCAACCAGCGGCCCGGTAAGGGTTGTTCCGCGGCCCGGTACCGGTCCGCGGACCGGCGGTTGGGGACCCCTGTTCTAGTCCAACCCCCTGGTCAAGCATTTCAGACAAATGGTGGTTCAATCTCTTCTTACAGGCCTCTGGTGATGGAGCACCCACAACTTCTGGTGGCAAGCAGTTCCGCTGGTTAATTGTCCTCACTGTCAGGAAATTTCTCCTTAAGTTTCCAGGTTGCTTCTCTCCTGGGTTAGTTTCCATCCGTTGCCTCTTGTCCTGCCTTCTCAGGGGCTTTGGAGAATAAGTTGACCCCACTTCCTCTTCAGCCTGTTAGATATTGGCAACCGATTCATATTTATGAATGCACTCTAAAAAGACCGTAGAAATATTTTATGAGTGGACAGCCAGATTCACTTAACCGCCGGGTTGCTCCTTGAAGAACTGCAAAGGTTCACTTAACAACCACGGCATGAAAAAAAAAGTCGCGAAATGGAGCCAAACAAAAACGCCTCACTTATTAACAGCATCCATTTCGGGGCTCGGTCGTTGTTCGTAGGTGGAAGACTCCCTGCCTTGACTTTGTGACCTTCTCCTTTGGCAGGTGATGCCCCCCAGCATCATGGTCGCCGGGATCTACTGCGCGGTGGTGGCCGTCTTCTTCACGACGGTGAAAACAGTCAACTACCGTCTCCACACCATGTTCGACCAGGGGGAGATCGTGGAAAAAAATTCGGCGCTGGTCGAATCTGGCAAGGCCGACGAGAGAGCAGCTGCTGACGACGACAATTTGACCAGGTGAGTGAAGGCAGCACAGGGCAGGCAGTCCTCGACTTAAGACAGTTCGTTTAGCGACCGTCTGAAGTTACGACGGCACTGCAAAAAGAAAAGTGACTTAGGAACGTTTTTCACACTTAGCGACCTTGAAAGCATTTCCTGGGATCCAAATTCAGACGCTTGGCAACTGACTCGTATTTACGACCCTTGCAGTGTCCTGGGGGTCACGTCATCCCCTTTTGCCGACCTTCAATGGGGAAGCCCGATTCACTTAACAACCTAACTGAGCCACTGCAGTGATTCAGTTAACAACCGTGCTGCTATCTTACAACCGCAGAGATCCACTTAACTGAGGCCAGGAGGTTTTAAAACGGGGCACAACTCACCTAACAACGGTCTCACTTACCAACGGAGATTTGGAGCTCAATTGTGGTCATAAGTCGAGGACTACCTAGATTCTCCAGTTTAGGGAACAATTTCCAACCTGGGATGAAGAAGCCGGTTTTGAGATTTAACAGATGAACAGTGTTGGAAGGGACCTTGTAGGTCATCTAGTTCAGCGGTCGCCAACCTGTGGGCCGCGGCCCACTGGTGGTCAGTGAGAAAATTTTGGTGGTCCACAGAGAAATGTCACCTCCAGAGCAACCCCCCCCCCAAAGCAATTAATCCAGGCTGCGCAGGAACAGAAGGCTATGCCGCCCACATGGCCCACAAGAACCCTCCCCGCCCCCTCACTCCTTACTTGGCAAATTTGCCTGTTAAGTTGCTATTTTTCCTTTGTCCGACCATCAGGTGTTCTGCTCTGCCGGGAGATTTAGATTAGCTAGAAAGCAGGAAATCCTTGGATTTCTTGCTTTCTAGCTAATCTTTAGATCTTTGGCTTCTGCTTTTAAGCAGAGCCGAACCTTCCTTAGAACCGAAGCAGCGCAGACTCAGGTAGGTGATGGCAGAAACCCAGATCTCTTAAGTGAATCTGATTCTGTGAGCAACTCCATCTGCCTGCCTGCTTTGCCTGATTTTGGGTAAAAGTTGCTCTTTTTTAAAATAAAAAATTCAATATTTATATAAATATTTATAATTTTTACATACAAGCCATGCCCAGGCAGTCCCAGGACCACCAAGCCATGCCCACAAATTAGGCCACGCCCACAGAACTGGTTGTTAAGAATTTTAAATCCTACCCCTGCCTGTGTGTTTGTATGTGTGTGTGTGTGTGTGAGAGAGAGAGTGTGTGAGAGAGAGAGGGAGGGAGAGAGAGGTTAGATCAGATCTCTCTCTCTCTTTCTCTCCCACCAAGGTCAGCAAGCCAAAATTCATAATAGTGGGATTTAAAGTTATGGCTTTGTTGGTCCCTGAGGTCCAAAAGGTTGGCGACCTCTGATCTAGTCCAACCCCCTGCCCAAGCAGGAGACCCTACCTCGTTTTGTATAAGCCTTTGTTTGTTCCTTTCTTCCAAGGTGGAATTCCATCTTTTGGGGGGAGGGGAATTGGACTTCACCCCTTTTCCTCTGCAGGGACCCCGGAGGCGTCGAGATGACCGTGTTCCGTAAAGTGAGCTCCACCCCGCCGGTGAGATGCAGTTCGCAGCATTCTGTCTTCGGCTTCAACCAAGTCATGGTAAGGGAGAGAGAGTTTGGGTTGAATGTCCCAAAGGTGCATTTTTGTCAAGAGGCAACTGGGCTTTCTGGCTTTTTTTCTTTGAAGACATTTCGCTTCTCATCCAAGAAGCTTCTTCAGCTCTGACTGGATGGTGGGGAATGGAAGGATTTATATTTCTTGCAGGCAGCTGGTCATTTGCATCCTTTTAGAGGGTCGTTGAGGCCACTTGGAGGTTTATCTGTGTCTTCAGGGTCACAGATGGGTGTGGAAGGACCCATTTACCTGAGGACACCAATAAACCTCCAAGTTCACTTAACAGCCAGGTGACTAATTTGGAAACTGCAGTGATTCCCTTCACAACGGAGGCAAGGAAGGCTGTAAAATGGGGAGAAATTCACTGTCTCGTTTAGAAAATGTGAACTCCGTTGTCATAAGTCGAGGACTACCTTTACAGGTGAAGCTTCGCTCGTTTGCTCGCCCACCGCTCATCTCCAGCTGTGCGTCCCAGTTCCTAACAGGCCACAGACTGGTTTCGTCTGTGGTCTGTTAGGAAGTGGGATTTGCGTCAGTGGTGAGATTCAATTTTTTTTTACTACCAGTTCTGTGGGCGTGGCTTGGTAGGCGTGGCGGGTGTGGCTTGGTGGGCGTGGCAGGGGAAAGATAGTACAAAATCCCCCTTCCCTCCCCACCCCACTGACCTGCTTTCCAGCTCCGTTCTCCTGTGCAGGGCAACCAAAGGAGACTCAACCAATCAGCTGGGACTTGGGAGGCGGAGAAGAGATGGGGGCGGGGCCAGTCAGAGGCGGTATTGGCCGGTTCTATTCAAAATGTCCGCTACTGGCTCTCCAGAATCAGTCAGAACCAGCTGAAGACCCACCACTGATTTGCGTATGAACCCAACTCCATCTTTCAACACAAGCTTGGCATTTCTGAAGTGACATTAACCCCGGATTATTCGAAGATCTTATTTATTTATACATCACATAAAAAGCTGAGTGCTTTTTATAGGAAGCTCTCTAGTGGGGATGGGGCAGTATAGAAATCGGATAAAAGCCCCAAAAATGAACTCAATAAATAAATGTAACAAACTCCTTTGAAGCTCCCAAGAACTTACGTCCGGCCCGGCATGGAATTTTCTGGGCTATTTTGCAAACAAGCTGTATAGATCACGGGTATCCAACCGTGGCCACTGTAAGACTTGTGGATTTCAACTCCCAGGATTCCTCACCCAGAATGGCCGGCTGGGGAATTGTGGGAGTCGCAGTCCGCAAGTCTTAAAAAGTTGCCAAGGTTGGACATCCCTCTATGGATGCCAATCTGAAAATAAAAAATTGGAACATGGGCCCTTCTGCGGGGAAATTTCCCTACCGTTTCCTGTAGAATTCTTTTCCAGGCCATGGAGGTTTGTCTCACTGTTGTTTTCCCTCCTAGGATCTGCTGCCCCACTTGGAAGATGGAGGCCCTGTCCGAGGTAAGCAACGGAGAAAGGCAGGGGCCACCCTTCCCCCAGTTAAAACTAGTTAGGAAGGGCAGACCTTTTTTATTATAAGGAACGAGACAAAGGGACAATAAAGAATGGACAAAAGATACAAATGTAATGACTCAAATTAAGATGGATTAATTAAGATAGAATTAAGAAGAGTGAAATGTGTGGAGAAGTTAATATAGAAGACTTAGAATGGTAAATAAGATAAGTAATGACATGTAAGATGAGCATGAATATAATTGAAGTTCATGAAGAGAGAGATATCTGGGGCCAAGTTACTTTCCTAAAAGATTTTTCTTTTTCTTTTATGTTCTGTGTGTTGTGTGTTTATGTTTCTGGGAGAATTAATAAAACCTTGCAGAAATATAGAATGAGAATAATGGTAACCAGGTCAGAAAGAAATAGATGAAACAATAATAATGAAATTGAATAAGAGTAAAGAGAAGTAAAGAGAAACTGGATAAGAGGTTTTTGTATGCTTATATGGAAATGGTTTAAAATAGAATTATAGTGTATAAAATAAGGTTTTATCTGACTTGTTAAATTTATAATGGAAAAAGGTTTAAGTATGTAATGGTTAATGATGATTTGTTTGTTTCTGAAAAATTAATAAAACTTGTTTTTTAAAAAAAAAACTAGTTAGGAAGGGAAGGGTTAAAAACCCGGGGTGGGATTCAAACATCCCAGCCACTGGTTCGCTGCCCAGTTTGCTGGGTGGCCGGAGCCTCCTGTAACGTCCGGGAGGGCCGTTTTTCAGCTTCCCGGGGCTCCGGAGGCCCTCCAAAAAAACTGGAAACAGGCCCACTTTTCTGGAACTTCCCGCTCGGCCTGGTTTTTCCCCTTCCCAGATCCTCCTTGCAGACCCTACCCTTCCCTGCCTTCAAAAATGGGCCCCGTGGAGACTCCTGGGAGGGACAGGGCAGGCCGGGGCCAGCCGATCGGTTCAACTACCGGTTGGGGTGAACCGGGTATCCATTTAGCCTCCGGTTCGCCCAAACCGGTCCGAACCGCTAGACTCCCACCCCTGGTTAAAAGCAAGATCAAGAGATACGACAAGTGCTTTCCCAACAGAGGTGAGCAACCACGGCCCCTTGGCGACCTGTAAACTTCAACTCCCAGAATTCCTCAGTGGGTCGAGGGAGGTTTTGGGTTGTTGGAAGCACCAGGGTTCCCCCCCATGGTTTTCTCCACTCCGAAATATCTCCTGTATGGTTAACAACCTGCATATTCCATTAACCAATGATTAGAGCAGGGGTGTCCAACCTTGGCAACTTTAAGAGTTGAAGTCCACAAGTCTTAAAGTTGCCAAGGTTGGACACCCCTGGTTTAGAGTAACGCAGGGGTCACTTTCATTGAACGTAATGCAGTTAACGAATCCTCGGGTTATGAATGTTATTGGCAGGCTCTATTACATCCGTAACTGGAGGATTATCTGTATTCCTGACGGTTGCAGCTTCCAGGGGTCAGTTGATCATAACCTGCCAACCTTCCCAGCCAGCCAAGCAAAGCCAGGTGGGCGGGTGGGGAAGCTGCATTTGCTTAAGGACCAAACGGTCCGCTTAACAACTGTCTTGCTTATCAACGTGATTCTGCTCCCCGTTTTGGTTGTAAGTTGAGGAGGGGCGATAAGAGGAAGCGGGGAGATGGAGGACGCCTCCCTCAAAATCTTCTCCCGCAGATATCAAGGAGCTCGTCCGAGAACAGGGAAGCAACAACGTCATCGTGACGGCCGCTGACCGAGACATGCTCCAGTGCTGCTCCCCAGAGAGTCGCGGTGAGTTCTAGAATCCCAGGGTTTGGGAAAGGAAAGAACGTCAAGCGAGGTGAGAAGAATGGCTCAAAGGGTAAAAGAGAGCCAGGTTGGACTAGTGTGTAAGGCAGTAGGGGAGAAGCCAGGAGACGGGGAGTTCTAGCCATGCAAGCCAGCTGGGTGACTTTGGGCCAATCGCCAGGAGACGGTGAGTTCTAGTCCTGCCTTAAGCA